GAAACATTAGGTAAACTGACAGCACAGAAGGACTGTCCTTTGTATCTCTGAGAAGACATGTTGCACTGCATGGCAGTAAGCAACATAGCCCAAGGTGAGGCAAGGCTTCAAATATTCACAAACCTGGGCAGCTGGTGCTAATTGGGGTTTCAGGTGGCAGAGGGTGAGTCACTGTAGGGACGGGGACTATGGAACAGAACTGGAGACCAGAGATTCATTTCATGCTTTAGAAGAAGAAACAGCAGTGGGATGGTTCCTCTAGGCTGAATGGTGGAAAAGAAAGTTCAGAGCACATGTGCACATAGCACTATTCCTAACAGATCATTTCAAACCTCAATCCTTTGGGCTTCATTTTTACTGTGGTGAAAACAGCAGAGGCAGAAAATTGGAAAATGGTGCCGAATGGTACTTTCTGTGAAGTAGCTCCCCAATGCTTCAGCCCAACTGACCTTACTCACTAATAGAGCCTTCAAAGACAGGGTAACACCAGAGGCTGTGAAATGGCTCCGGATCAGATAGGCGCTCTCCGGCTAACACAATGAAGCAAAGTGTGCAAAATGTCACAATGGAGAACCCAATGACTGAAACTCACATTGCAGGCTAGCCTCTCTACATTCAGAAGCGGACTCGTTATGCAAGTCTTTAGAGACTGGGTGACAACAGAGGTTGTGCACAGCTCCAGACCTAGGGAGCAACCTCCAGCTAATACAGTACATAAAGGTACTGTATTAGAAAGCACCACAATGCAGAGCTCAATGTCAGAAGATCACAATCCAGAACAGCACCACAGTCTTTCAGTCTAGTGCGTCCAGGCATATTAACCCTTTCCTGCCCAGTGCCATTAGTACAGTCTCTGTGAAGCATGCTGACATCAGAAACAGCCCATTTGCACGACCACTGAACCGCAAGGTCGGGTTGCGTTGGGTTTCAGGAGCCAAAAGGACCAATCTTGTGCGGGGAGGATCAGCTGGTCAGGTGAGCATATCTCCTAGAATAAAACGGGAATTTGACCAGTGCATTGCCAGCACAGCCCCATGCAGCAAAAAAAATTCTCTGGCTTTTTGATCTTCATTAAATATGAAAAAAAAAAAAAAAAGTATTTTCAAAACCTGTAGTTACACCTTTTTGGAGGAACCTCCCAGGGCACTAGCAAAAAAAGACACAATGTTTAGAAGTAGGGTTATACAGGGCAGGCCCTCAAGTTTTTTGGGTTTTTTTTTGTTTTGTTTTTCTTGCAGTGCACAAAACTCCAGTAGGCTGCAGTATAACCCAACTGGATCAGAATTCTTGTGTCCCTCAAGGGAGGATAAGGAAAGATACCTTGTGCTCTCACCCTGATTTATCTCAACAAACTTATTTAGCACTCCCAGTTTTTATTTTGGACTACAAAGGCTGAATTAGCCTTTGTGTTGTGCAGATAGAGTGGATGAGCCATTTAGGAAAAGAACACTGGGTAGGACTGAGACCACTCACTCCACAGAAATGCTGTGTGTTATCAGCCCACAACTGGATTTGGGAGCTGAGTGCATTTCTTGCATATCAACAGGTATTTTTCGATTTCTTTGCAGGAAATTTAAATGAATACATGGAGAAATGTGCATGTTTTTCAGAAAACGCACTGTACAGGTTTAGTCTTATTTTGCCCCGACACACACTTTAAATACAGGCCAGTGATATATAATCAACTCTGAAAATTGTATTTATTACCTACTGTCCTTAAATTAAATATATATAGGCATAAAATACATACAGTGGATATAAAAAAATCAACACACCCGTTAAAATGTCAGGTTTCTGTGACTTAAGAAAATGAGACAAAGATAAATTATTTCAACCTTTAATGTAACCTATAAACTGTACGACTCAGTTGAACAACAAACTGAAATCTTTTAGGTGGAGGGAAGTAAAAATAAAAAAACTAAAATAATATGGTTGCATAAGTGTGCACACCCTTAAACTAATACTTTGTTGAAGCACCTTTGATTTTATTCCAGCACTCAGTCTTTTTGGGTATGAGTCTATCAGCTTGGCACATCTTGACTTGGCAACATTTGCCCACTCTTCCGTGCAAAAACACTCCAAATCTGTCAGATTGCAAGGGCATCTCCTGTGCACAGCCCTCTTCAGATCACCCCACAGATTTTAGATCTGATTCAGGTCTTGGCTCTGTCTTTAATCTTCTTCAGGTGAAGCCATTCCTTTGTTGATTTGGATGTATGCTTTGGGTCGTTGTCATGCTGAAAGATGAAGTTCCTCTTCATGTTCAGCTTTCTAGCAGAAGCCTGAAGTTTTTGTGCCAATATTGACTGGTATTTGGAACTGTTCATAATTCCCTCTACCTTGACTAAGGCCCCAGTTCCAGCTGAAGAAAAACAGCCCCAAAGCATGATGCTGCCACCACCATGCTTCACTGTGGGTATGGTGTTCTTTTGGTGATATGCAGTGTTGTTTTTGCACCAAACCTATATTTTGGAATTACGGCCAAAATGTTCAACCTTAACATAACACATTTTCCCACATGCTTTTGGGAGAATTCAGATGTGTTTTTGCAAAATTTAGCCGGGCTTGCATGTTTTTCTTCGTAAGAAAAGGCTTCTGTCTTGCTACTCTTCCCCATAGCCCAGACATATGAAGAATACAGGAGATTGTTGTCACAGGTACCACACAACCAGTACTTGCCAGATATTCCTGGCAGCTCATTTAATGTTGCTGTAGGCCTCTTGGCAGCCTCCCAGACAAGTTTTCTTCTGCTGTAGGATGCGACTAAGAAAATGTCAGGAAAGACCTACTAGAACAGCTGAACTTAATCAGAGGCACCTTAAATGATGGCAGGTGTGTACTGAATCCTATTTAACATGATTTTGAATGTGATTGTTTCATTCTGAACATAGCTACATCCCCAGTTATAAGAGGGTGTGCACACGTATGCAACCACATTATTTTAGTTTTTTATGTTTACTTCCCCCCTAAAAGATTTCAGTTTGTTTTTCAACTGAGTTGTACAGTTTATATGTCACATTAAAGGTGGAAAATGTTCTGAAATTATTTGTCTCATTTTTTTTTACATCATAAAACCTGACATTTTAACAGGGGTGTGTAGACTTTTTATATCCACAGTATTTACAGTGAGTCAATTAATAACAATGGTACTATTGAAAGTCTCTGATACCTCTAAATTCTGTGCCTCTAATAAAGAATGTTTATCAGTGGTGGCCTCTACACAGTATATTTCATTGTGAATCAAAGAGCAGCACTATAAGAGCCATCTAGACATAAATGTTGTGAGCAGGCCCTTTTATTTCCCAGAGTTCTCATGTGGGAGAATTTGTGGTCCAGAAGCGACCTTTAGAAGGGCTTTGGTGATCATTTTGTGGAGAGAAATTGTTCCAGTTGGTTGGCAGCTCTGTCAGAGACTAGCATATCAGCCGATTGCAGATCAACATGGCAAAGAGAGCCTCTGCGTGGAAACTGAATGCATCAAGAACAAAACAAAGTAAATGATGCATGTCTATACTGTATGTAGTACATATACTGCAGGGACCCATCTGTGATGAGCAGTAAAATTAGAGGAATTATTTTTACAGACACTAGGTTGTGTTAATGTATTAAAAATACAGAATGTAAAAAGATGGCATCTATGGCAAAACAAAAAAACTCAAGAGCATAAAATACCACTCTATTAAAATGACACAACAGCAAAATTTCCGATAAAACTGATACTGTTTATGTATAAAATCAATTTCAGTCATTTTCCTAACAAATCCCCAAATGGATCAGAGACACATATGACAAATTATAAATCTTCCCCACTCTACAAAAAAATAAATGCCTGAAATGAGGCTTTAATGCAAGCAATTTTTGTAACTAAACATCATTAAAAACGACCTGCATTTTCCTTAACTGCCAAAATTATTTCCTTGCAGCTATGGCAACCTGGAGACATTCTGTATATTGTACACAATGATCTCAGATATTTTTAACTTTTCTACAATTTAAAGTTTTTGTTTTTTTTTTATTAAGTTTGTTTTTTTTCATCACATAGGGGACAAAAAGTCCCCTGTGTGATGATCTTTTGGTGACAGGTTCTCTTTAATGAGACATCCAGGATCTTAAATTGAATGTAATGCAGTGCAAATCACATTGCATTCTTTCTTGGCCGCACTGGCCAGGGAAACTGACAAGAAGACCTGGAAGTGACATTTTACATAGCGTTTCCGGGTCAGCAACAAGGGGAGGAGAGCAGATATGTCCCCGCTCAGCTCCTAACCCCTTACCCAGCGGCACCCGCTCTGCAGGTCCTGGGCTCGCAAATGGGCAAGCGGAGCCAGGGATACATGATGGAGCATCTGTTAACAGGGGGTGTGAAAGCAATTCGGCACCACCAAAACTGTTTGCATCTGACAGGTGGCAGTCTGCTTGTCACACATACAGCCACCAGAAGTGTGTGTAAAACCCCCGCTGTCACTGACATCGAAAGAGTTAAAGTGATTCTAAAAGTTTTTTTTTATATTCAAAATAAAAAAAATATGATAAAGTCCATAAATAGGCTATACTTACCTGCTGCTTTATGCCATAGTATTGCACAGAGCAGCCCCTTACACCTCCTCCTGGCGCTCCCCCCTCCTTTCTATGAGTGCCCGGTAAGGAAGCCCACTGTTGTGGAAGCACTGAGACGAGCTGTGTGTGCCCATAGACACTCACTATGTGACTTGGCTACGTCTCCTACCCCCCTGCTCACAGGATTTGACCGAAAGTAGCAGATAGTTGGGTACTTCTTACCTTAATGTATAGAATGTAATAATTTGAAAACAGTTTAGGCATTAGAACCAAAAATAAACTCTTTTTTCAGTTTCACCCATGAAGGAAATAACATAAAAACATTAAAAAAAGCTGTACTATGCTTCACAGGTCCTGAGTGAACAGCCTTTTGGCTCACCTTACCAAAAAATAATAAGCATCGATTTCCCATTTCATTTGGAAACGGCAAACTATCTGCTTACCTGGTTGCTTTTCTGTAATTCCTGTACTTTTTTTGCAAACTCTTTAGCTTCTTTCTGGCACTGATGCTCCAATTTCTCCACCTTCCTCTGAATTCGCTCATCCATTAACTTCAGCTCTTCAATGTGGTTCACAAATTGGTCCAATAATCTGCAAAAGTGTAGCATCAATCAACACAACCGGGCCTTTCGAATTAGGGATAAAGAAGCATAACACAAAGGAGTAATCCATAGCAACCAATCAGAGCTCATTTTTCACTTTTTTTGACTACAGAACACTTGCTCCCCAACTAATCCAAGGATTTAATCCTGTATTGGCTTCCTGTAGACAGAGTTTTTTGAGGATTGCGTTTCCTGACTGTACATTCATCTGAGCATACTGGCCTTTATTGGGGAAAAAAAAAAAATGAGAAGAAACTGTCTAAGTTATTGTGAGTTGCAAACCAGGGACAAACTGATAATAGAAATGCTGCTATGGGGGCATCAAGTCTGCAACTGGTAATGTCTGCAGAATGGTTAATGTTAGCTCTAGGGTCCAGATTCTAGATGTACTTTGAACAGGATTCTATGGATCTGACACTGATAACTTATTAGCAAGTCAAGCTCTTTAGGGGGTAATGTTGGTGCTTGAGTCACTGGTACAATTCAGAGGTATGGCTTCAGATATGTGTGTCAAACACAAGTCCTGCATTCCATTTCATGGCCCTTGCACCATTCCTGTAGCACCTCCCTAATCTCCACCATACCTTGTCCAGCAGTCAGCAGCAGAGAGGAGGACAGAACTGCGTTTGTGTGCAGCCACAGAAAGGCTAGTCTCTGCCCACCCCCCATCTCAGCAGTCAGCAGTAGAGAGAAGGTCTTACAGAGCCTGCGCCTCTCTGTGCAGCTGCTGCACCCCCTTGTCTACACCTCCCCTGGTCTCAGCATTCAGGCAACTCCGGCAGCTAAATCCAGAACTCCTCTGGTCCTCCTCCAGACGATGCACTTTCTGGTTCCCAGCCCCACCCCGCACTTCTTCCCTGCAGCAGCATAGGGTAAGAGGGGTGCACTGTGATGTGAGGGTGGTGGTGGGGTTTGTTTAGTTTTGACTTCTGAAGGTGAAAGGGGGGGGTGTATTGACATTTACAGGGGGTGCTCTGGACATCTAGTCTTAAGCATAGAACCGGCCTTTTGAGGACAACCATAATACTGATGCAGCCCGTAATGAAATGGAGCTTGAGATATCTGGTTTAGGAGGTTAAGGGTTAAACCTAATTTCAGGATAAGAGTGTTTCAAAGGGCTGCGTTACAGAGCTCAGATTAGGTTTACATATTTTGGAGAGGCTACGTGGTATTTTTAAGGCTGAGTTTGCATTTTCAGGAAATTTTTTTTTTTTTTTTTAAGTTTTGGATAGGGTGGAGAAGGAATAGAAAGCCCGAGTTTTTTATTTCTCTCCAGGTCTCCAACAGAAAGATTTTTCCCACTTGCCTGTCGTAGTGACAAAGGTTTCAGAAGACAGGTGGTGAGGGAAAATCTGCACTGAGGCACATCAAAGCAATATTTAAAACTGAAGTTTAAGCTGATTTAAATAAATAAATAAAACACTCTCCTTTAACCCCTTAATGCCAGCACCTCCCAGCCCTTTAAGGGGTTTATGAGCTGGGGGGAAGTGGTTCGGGTTTATAATCATTTATAATTTATGATCTCCAGGACTTCCCCCCATCCTCTGGAACTCACTACCCCACTCCATCAGACTGTCACCTACCCTCCTCATCTTTAGGCACACCCTGAAAACCCATCTCTTCAGGGAAGCATACCCCACCCTCACTTAACAGCCGATCTCCTCCACTCTTCTTACCACTTCATCCCCCATAGCCACTTCTTCCTGTACCACTATCCCCTCCCTCCTAGATTGTAAGCTCAAAAGAGCAGGGCCCTTGAACCCCTCGTGTATTGTTTTGTTACTGTATTGTCTCATGTTCTGTCCCCCACTATAATGTACAGCGCTGAGCAAAACTTCTGGCGCTATATAAATACTGTATAATAATAATCAGGTCCGGAAAGCTCCCGATCACAAGTCTGTTTAACTGTGCAAGACTAAGGCTGAATTTCTACTTTAACCACCTCCCGTCCAGCCGTTGTATATAAATGGTCGGACGGTGGCAGTGCAGGGGCGAGTGGCCGTTTATGAACGGCCTCCCCGCCCCATGCTTGTGCATGCTCCCTGGGAGCGCCAGCACCGCGATCCAGTGCCCGCTGTGTCCTCCGGACACAGTGGAACACCGATCGTTGTACAGGACCTCTGTGCGAGGTCCCGATCATGTGATCACTGATTGGCCAATCAGTGATCACACGAAGAGTAGTAAACAAGATGTCACTTCTGACATCATTGCTTACTACGTGTGAAATCTGAATGATCACAGAGATCACATGGTACAAGGCTATTCACAACAGCCTTGTACCATGTGAAAAGCTGTGACCAATCACAGATCACATGACTGCAAGAATGCAGTCAGAGAGAAGGAGAAATGATTGATTTTACAGATTTTATGGGTGTAAAAGGAATCAGTGTAAAAAAAAAAAAAAAATCTTCATCAACCCCTACAAGTAGTACACTGTACTGCTAGGGTGACCGTATGTAAAAAAAAAAAAAAAAACAACAACAAAATCATAAATAATATAAAATAAAAATGTAAACTTTTTTTAAAAAATTATAATTTTGGTTATAAACTAATTTGGGTTATTTTTTTTTTTTTGTTACTAAAAAGATAACTGAATAAATTTTGGCCAAGATATATGAAGAAAGATTTGCAAACTTTAATAAGAAAAACTTTTCAAAAATGTTGGACTTTCATTTATATAGCAAAAAAAAAAAAAAAAAAAATCCCAGTGGTGAATAAATACCACCAAAATAAAGCTTTATCTGTCTCAAAAAAATGTTAAAAAATTCATATGGGTACAGTGTTGCATGACCACGCAATTGTCATTCAAAGTGTGACAGCGCTGAAAGCTGAAAATTGGCCTGGGCAGGAAGGGGGTAAAAGTGTCCGGACTTGAAGTGGTTAATACTTATAAAGGACAAAATTGAAATAATAAATATGTTTCCCTTATTGACTCCTCCTCGGCTTCTAAAATATACACCCAAGAGAAAAATTTTTTTGGCAGGGCCAAGGCTGAGCAACATCTTTTAGAACCTTGTATTACACACCTGGGGAGTCTCAGGCTATGCATCTGGTTTGTGCATCTACTGTTCAACCTAATGGAAGAAGTTTTAAATCCCTGACTTATTGCCTGAGGTTTGCTATTTAAAACTGTAACTTACAGAAAGGCTAAAAGAGGAAAAACTAATAAATCAAGTTCACTTTGTGTTCAGTTTTTAGTGAAGTGGAAGTCACCTGACTAGCTGCTGTACAGAAAGTGTGCCTCGCATCATAAGACACCCACTTTTTTGGATCGAATGACTCTGCTCCTCCTCTGGATCCTCCCCCTGGTGTTCGCCATGCCAGTCGCTCAATATATTCATCAGCCACAAACGGTTCCTGAAAACACAAACACAGGAAGTCACTTTATTGTCATTCTGTGGCTGAATATACAGCGTGTATTTCAATGCATTAACAAACAAAAAAGTTTTGTTTGTTTTTTAAATTTGGTCCAAAATTATAGGGAAGACAAATACTTGTAACAAGAATGTAATCAGAAGTCACAACTGCTGAGCTGCATGTTCGCTATGGATCATGCTTCACTAAACAATGAAGCAAGAATTAGCATGACAGCCCAGAAATCTGTACATTTAAAAGCCAGGTCAGCAATGACAGTTCTCATTTTCTATACTGACAAGTACCCTTTAAATAACTGAGGGCAAAACTTTTTTCCTTAGTTTTGAACAGAATGGGGATGGATTATAACCCGACAGGTTTTTATTGCTGTCTGTGCCCTCATTAGGGAGATTCACCCTCTCTATTTGTTCTGTTTACCATTATCATTGAAAGTAAACGTAAAGAAATTTCCAAATTTTGGGTTGGCCCCAGGAAAGTTCTGGATACCTGGAGGTCCCCAAGGAATTCCCTTGATTTGCAGGGATTTCCTCTCACTTCCTGTTTGGCTATGGGACAGGGAGTGAAGGAAAATCTCCCCAATGGGACACAAATGGCAAAAAATAAACTGACAGGTGTTATAACCCTGCCTTACTCTAGCCAAAAAAAAATGGCTGTAGTTCTACTTTAACATGAACAGTGTATGTTAAAGCCCAACTCTGGGCTCAGCCCCTGTCCACCCCTCAGTCATTCCACCTTCCCCTCTGAAAGGCCCTCCTCTAGCAGAATGTATCTTTTTTTCCAGTCTTTAGGCTGGGCCTATTCCTTTTTTTCTCAGTTGACAACTACCGGTAAGCAAAGTGCCACAAAAAAAGAAATTTTCTCAGGTATCTGCATTACAGGTCCCAAGGTCCCTGAATTCCATATTATAATTATAATATGCAAATTTAAACTCTATTAGTTTGGAGAGCTAGTCCCCAGCCTCCTGCACCACCTAATTAGCCAATAAGGCTGTGCATCACAGTGACTGGCCAATAGGAAATTGCAGGCCAGATCAGCACAAATATAGAACTTGTAGAAATTTGCATAAAAGAGCTCCTTTGGATTCAGGGGCATCTCAGATATGCAAGAACACATGTCAAGGGATATGCATGTAACATAGGTCTTCATTACAGGAAGATCCTGCACAGAGATAAGGCCTACACAGGATTACTGCACAGACCTGGAAGAAATACACAAAGCACACCAAGGTTCAAGCAAGAACACACATGCCTCTTGTATTTAGAAAATATTTGAGTATAGTGGAACTCAGCTTTAACCCCTTGACACCGATGGCACACAAATATGTGGCCTCACGGAACTGGGCTTTTTTCCGTGGGGCCGCATATTTGCATACCTGTCTTTGAGACCGCGGTGTCACAGAGCCCTGGGTCCCGTTCTAACAATCGGGACCCGAGACTCCCGATTCTGGGTCACGTGATCGCTATGATAGCCTCTGATTGGCTATCACAGTGATCAGTCACTGTGCAGCCCAGCCCCCTTGTTTTTTCTCTCTCTATGAATGGAGAAGAGAGATACATTGTATCTCTCCAACTCCTGACATAGATAAAAAAAAAAAGATAAATATTAAAAAAGAAAAGAAAAAATAAAGAAAAATACCTAGATCACGGTTTGATCTAGTTCAGTACCAGGGTTAGTGTTTGGGTCAAGGTCAGGGTCAAAGGTGTCAGGATTTTAAAACAAATTGGTGTCAGTTAGCGTTAATTTCAGAATCAGTGTGTTTTAGGTAGAACAAAAAAAAAAGACAAAAACAAAATGCGCACTATTGTTTCTGGGCTGTACTACGGGTACAAACAACAAATAACATACACATATATGGTATCGCTGCAGTCGTCAAGAGCTGGAGAATTTATTTTGGGTTGTTCTATGGAGGTAGGTTATGGTCGTAACAAGAAACACAGCTAAATTAAAAAAAAACAATTTTTTTTTTTTACTATTTTGGGCCAGTTTTCCTTTGATAAAAAAAAAATTAGGAGCTATCCATTACCATTTGCCAACAAATGAAAGCCCAATTTGTCCTAAAAAAAAACGCGGTATAATCCACCTGGATGTACAAAGTAGTTGTGATGATATGTACGGTTTTACTAACACGTCAACCTTGCAGAATTGTGTTTAGGCATTTAGATTTGTTTTACCCTTAGGCGTGAAGGGGTTAAAGAACATGATGTATTCCACACTACGAGATGTACGCAGGGATAGGTACTGAGCACATGCTACAAATCACAAAGCAAGGCAGTCTCGGGCCCCACACTAAGCACATAATAAGAGTCATGATGACTGGGTGACAAAGCCATAAAAATTGTTCTATATGACAACCCATTTGTTGTGCTTTACAATTCTCTACAAGTACAATTTTTAGCATGGACAATATATTCCTGATTGGTTCTGAATGGTCACATGTAACGGAGCTGAAAAACGTAGCCATGTAACCAAGTTCAGGCAAATAGGAAAGTATTTTCCAGCTGATACTTCTCATGGAAAATATAAGGCAGTAACTATGTCCTGCACTGTAGCTTTGCCAATGGCTGTACCTACAAAAGATAACAGATTGTATTTGCTTCACCATTCCATTGTTTTAGTTTTACCTTACTAGTCCCTAGATGTGGTGGCTGCTTTAGTTTTCTTTTTTTTTTTCAGGCTCCTTTAATTTTCACCTAGTGATCCTGCCAGTAACACTTCCTGCCCTAGAATGACACGTGCTCATGCAGTGTTCTGTATGCTTAGAGAACCGCACATCACTCTAGGACAAGACTAAAAAACACATTCCCCTCCCTTCTCTACAACATACAGGGTTGGGTTCTGTACTGTTGAGAGAAAGCAGAGAACAATGTGACTAATGAGGACAGCACAGGAAGTTATAAAATCGACAAAGAATATTTTCCTAATGATCTGTATAAAAGCTCAAAAAAAAAAAAAAAAAAAAAGGAAGTTCATTTTTAGAGTTTTCATACATTTTATTATGACCACAAACATGAAAGTTAAAGACTAGATCAGGAGACAATCTAATGTCTACACCACGACTCTCATCCCTGGCTTAGCAAGCGTTCCTGGCGGGCTCGGAGGACGAGGTGTGAAGTCGGGGGCGCGCTTGGGGCCGGAGAGGAGTCAGCTATAGAACCCGCTGGTCGCATTCCAGCCAGGCACACCGGCCCGGGGCTTCTCCACTTCTGTTTTGGGGTCCGGTTATTGCCTCCTGCTGTGTGGGGGCGAAAATGCCTGCCTTGTCCAAAGGAGATGGTATGCAGGGCCTGGCCGTGTTCATCTCAGATATCAGGAATTAGCCTTCCTTGTGAGCCTGGCCTATTTAAGCACCCAGAGGAGGGAATCCCTGTAACACAGGCTGCAGACCCATCCATCCTTAAAGGGGACCTCTGGATGAGCTGACCACTTACCCAGCCCAAGAGATTCTGCTGTGCTGGAAGTTCACCACACGCCACTGAATTCCATTCAGACTATTTGTACAGCATCCATCGGGCACATCAGACCATGAGGATGGGGTCAATGTATAAAGTAAATATTTTTTTTCCCCTCCGGTTTCACCTGGTGATGTCACCAATAACGCACATCCTGTACTACAGTACCCCCACTCTGGATGAAGGAGCACAGGGGGCACCTTTGGACAGCAGCATTGTCAGTCTGGGGGGAGGGGAGTGTTAGCTGGAGTGTAGCTTGAATTTGTTAATGTATCTAAATTTGCTAGTACAGCGAACACTTTATATGCAGTTACAGCAAACAGTGTTTTCCATTGGGATAAAGGTTTTATATAGATAAAAGCTGATCATTGTAAGCACCCTGCTGATAAATTGTTTCTCATCTCTGTATCGGATATACAGGTGTGCTCAAAAGTTTGAATACACTGGCAAAAATTGAGAAAGTTTGGGATTTATATTGGAAACAAGGCTGACCATGCAAAAAAAAAAACAAAAAACTTGTCTTTTATTTACTTTTATTTTAAATGCTAATAACAACAGAAATCACCCAAAATGGCTGTGATCAAAAGTTCACATACCCTGGAATGTTTGGCCTTGGTACAGACACAATTTAAAATGGCAATTAAAGGTTAATTTCCCACGTGTGACTTTTTACATTGCAATTAGTGTCTGTGTATAAATAGTCAGTGAGTTTGTTAGCTCTCACATGGAAGCACTGAGGTGGTTTACTTGCTGAGCCATGGGGAGCAAAAAAGAACTGTCAAAAGACCTGCATAACAAGGTAATGAATTTTTTTGAAAAATGGAAAAAGGATATTAAAAAAAGATATCCAAAGCCTTGAATATGCCAGTCAGTACTGTTCAATCACTTATTAAGAAGTGGAAAATTCAGGGATCTCTTGATACCAAGCCAAGGTCAGGTAGATGAAGAAAAACTGCAGCTACAACTGCCATAAGAATTGTTTAGGATACAAAGAAAAGCCCACAGGTAACCTCAAGAGAAACACAGGCTTCTCTGGACAGTGTAGTTGATTCAATACGACGATACTTGAACAAAAAGAAGTTGCATGGTCAAGTTGCCAGAAAAAAAGCCTTTGCTGTGCCAATGCCACAAAAAAGCCCAGTGAGGCATATCAAGGTGGTGTTGGGCATATTGTAACAGGCTTTTTTTAATGCAACTCAACCATGCAGCTCATTTGTGTTTGATTCAAAAAGAAGACAATTATGTGATAATAAAAATGGCTTCATATGATCACTATCCTTAAATAAAATACAGTTTTTTGGCATGATCAGTCATATTTTCACTGTAAGTGCCAGCATTTCGCAATTTCTGCCCAGGTGTGCAAACTTTTGAGCACAACTTTTTCTTTTGAAAAACAGACTTCCTGGCAGGATCACCAGATGAAAACAGAAGGAAGAAAACCTAAAAAAGAAAAACTAATACAGCAGAATTGGTAAGCTGCAATATAATAAAATGTTTGCTTTTCGGTTTATACTGTTCTAAGTGAACTGCTATGTGACA